ATTGCCTCCCCCTCCCCAGCCTTGACTGCACTATTGTCTGTGTCCCTGGAAAGCATTATGCTAAGCGAAATAGCCAGTCAGAGAAAGACAAAAACATAGGGTAGTTGAATGAATAAGAAAATAAGACTCAAATATATGCTGTCTACAAGAGACCTACCTCAGAACAAAAGACTCCCACAGGCTGGAAACAAAACAAAAAAACTTCTGGAGGACTTTAAAGGAGAGAATGACAGCAATACATCATAGTAGGGGACTTTAACACCTCACTGACTTTACTGGGTAGATCTTCCAGACAAAAAATCAACAAGGACACACTAGATCGGACACACTAAATGACACACTAGATCGGATGGATCTGATGGACATTCACAGAACACTCCACCCCAAAGCTGCAGAATAGGCATTCTCCTCAAGTGCACACGGGGCATTCTCAAACACAGACCACATGTCAGGGCACAAAACAAGTCTCCATAAGTTCAAGAAGATTGAAATCATATCAATCGTCTTCACAGATATTTGCACAACAGAATACTATGCAGCTGTAAAAAGGAAGGACCCCTTACCTTTGAGACAGCATGGGGAGACCTGGAGAGTATTATGCTAATTGAAATACGCCAGACAGAGAAAGAAAAATGTCACATGATCTTACTCGTGTGTGGAATCTAATGAACAAAATAAACCAATGAATAAAGTAGATTCAGTGACACAGAAGTGTGGAACAGACTGACGAGTCTCAGAGGGAAGGGGGGGCGGGGGCGTGGGGAGAGATTAACAAGAATTTACAGCGGTGCCTCGGTTTCCGAATGCGATCCGCTCCGGAAGCCTGTTCGAGGTCTGAAACGTTCGGAAACCGAGGGATCCCCAGCCGGCAGCTGGGCCTCAGGGTCTCGCCCTCAGCGGGAGCCGCGGGGCATGTTCGACTTCCGAGGCGTGTTCGGAAACCGAAGCTCTTCTGGGTTTATGGCGTTCGTAACCCGAAATGTTCGTCACCGAGACGTTCGGAAACCGAGGCGCCACTGTATATGCACATATGCATAACCACAGACAAGACAATAGTGGGGTGAAGGCCTGGGGCGAGGGGTACAGGGTGGAGGGGATCATTGGGGGGGAAAGGGGGACATTTGTAATACTTTCAACAATAAAGATAAATTAATAAAAAATGTAGCTATATAAAGCAACAAGGAATTACTAAATTTCAGTTTCTTATAATAATAAATTCTGGAAAACATTTGGAAGGAATAAGAAAAAAGAAAATTAGACTACTGCCAAGCAATGAACACTAAAAAGAAAATGAGTTACACAACAAGTATGAGACTTGTGTTAAGTGGGACCCTGAAAATTTGGAGCATGAATCAGAGTACTCAAGAGCTCTCATTACTTTTCCGATCTTATATGTGGAGATGATTTTATAAAATTACTTGATAAATGATCATCTCCATATGAAACCTTGAGCATATAGGAATGCTGCAAATCAAGGCCCCAAATCCAAGTTATCAACTTGTGAAAATGAAACAGCTTGAAGCCCTGAGTATTACAATAGCAAACTTGATTAAATTATCCCCTAGGTGTAGGAGCTAGACAGCCACTGATTGTCCCTCCACATGTCCACTGTTTTAATTCTTCTCAACAAGCTTGCTTTGACCAAATCACATGTTATCTAATTCATACTAATTTTCCACAAGGTCTTCTCTACATCTGTTGTATATTACTTTCATTATCCTAATTAGCTATTAATTATGCTTTTCTCACAATATATAAAATGTACGTGCACTCTTGCAAGAACTGTACTTGACAGATATTCACACTTATTTAACTTTAACAGCTCCACCTAAGGACAAATGTTATATCAAAAATGTCTTAAAGTGACTAATTAAGTATTTGGGAGGAAAAAAGTAGGTTTGCTTAAAATTTTTATTTGGATAGGCATGTGCTATCTACATTAAAAATAATGAAAATTCCATGCCACATTTTTATGGACAATTACCTAAAATAGGGCACCCATAAGCATGCAAATTAGCACATCCTGAAATTATACAAAGTCTGCCTTCTTGTTTGACTTTCATAAAAATTTGTATTTATGGCCAACTTGAGAATCAAGCTGTAAGCCCATGCCCTCCTACTGTGCTTATGTATGAAGGGATGTACTTAAAGGGTGGGGCCAGAAATATTTATAAAATATTACTGAATGAAAAATGATGTTGCGATATAAACATTTAAAGGTATTATTCATAGACCTACAGTGTACAAGGCAGGCTTGGGGACATAAAACCGAAAGCTGATACCTATGTCACAGTCTACAACCCATCAATCCACACATATAGTGTGGTAGATGCATGTGGTAGACATATGCATACACAAGCACAGAAGAAGTAGGGCCACCTACTTGAAAGGGGATGGCAAGAATTTTGAGCACAAAATATGATCAGGTTTGAGTTTCTTGAAATGTCCCTCTAGTACCAACGTGGGGGACAGGTTGGGAAAAAGACTGAGGCATAGACTGGAACCTAAGCGAGCAGAACCATGTGTAATTATAATCACTGTACCTAGTAACTTGAATCAGGAGGTGAACTATCAAACATCCAGCACTACAATTTCCTGAGAAAATACAACACCCCCAAGAAAGGTGACCCAACCATCATATCAATAGAACATGCTCAGATTTTCCCTCACAGAATCCTTTAAATAGCATCGAGAAGATATTATCCATAAATTGATTAAATATTGATTTTCTGCCTTATGTAATATATTAGTTCTAAGAAGAACACAAACATGCAAAAGATGATACTCTGTCTTCAAAGACCCTGCAATCTAACAAAGAATTAAAATATGCTGGGATAATCAGTTCACTTCTAGAATAACATAATATCTAGAATGGAAAGAAATGTGTGCATATATGAATCAGTCCATAGTGTGCTGTAATTAAAATATGACTGCTTCAGAGCAATGGCACTGCACTAAACTATGTGTTTATATAAGCAAATAAAATATATAAGATAGAAATAAAATATATTTACTAATCAAATATTCATTTATTTCCTTCAAGTTATTACTGAAAAAGATGGCTTTTAGAAAGCACCAAAAGAGCTATATAACAAAATAAAATTCCTTTATTTCAGAAATTTAAAATCCAGAAATTAGGAAAGCCAAGGGAAAGAAAAGAATGAACTAATTCACTAAACAGGTTGGCAGGTTGATTTTATAATTTTTATATAACATGCTAAGGCCACTGTATTCATTGGCCCTCTGGATACGAATAAGCATTCCTGGTGCGATGACTAAGCTAGATATTTCTAGCTTTTATTGAAAATACTATAGGCAGGAAGGGAATCTTGTTACTTCATTTGTTATGCCAATGTAGCACCCTGTTTTCTTTTCCCAAACATCAGTGAATATTTTGGTGCAGAGATTCCATCAAGTCAACCAAGAAGTAAATTCTAGGAAAATCTCAAGAGACATCTCACTTCCATGGCTGCTCCCATATTTCTAAAAACTGTTACCAATTGTCAATTGGGTTTCTCTAAATCAAAATAGCCTCAAAATGATCCCTTGTCTTTAAGATCTTGTCCCAAGACATCTCTAAGATCTAATAAAGTTTTGTATTTGAACACAGCAAAGACAAAAGTTCATTTCATACATTTACATGGATGGGAAAACATTTTCATTGAGGGAAGAGTGATGTCTAGAAGAAGAGAATTTAAAAAAAAAACAACGAAAAAAAACCTTTAAGGTATAAAAAACGAATCCTTTCACTTACATCACGGAAACTTTTTATGAACTCTCAACTCTAAATCCTAGGTTATACTTTCATAAAATCTAATAATTTTTATGGCTCTAATAGCAAAAAGTTAAAGCTTGGCATAATTATAAGCAACTAAAATTCAATGGAGTTTTATAAGAAAAAAATAATTTCTGCCTTCCTTTTTATTTTTTTAGTAGCAAATTTTGACCATACACATAAAAAAATCCTATGTGATAACTGTTTTAATTATGATTAAATTAAAGAGACTTGAGAAAACTAATATTCTTACCAACCAGATAAATGACCATAGTCTCAGAAAAATAACACACTAGAAAATGGATATGCTAGAGATATTGATCCTTATTAGATTGTTAAAAATGTCTCCTGTATTCCAAGATTCAGTGTATGAAACTAGAGAATGTGTGATTAAAAGAAAAATATTTATGAAGCCCAACTTTTGTGAGATTTGAATTTTTCTAGTAGCTAAGTCCTATACCATCAAAGAATGTGATGGATTTTGTAAATACAAGCAGGTTTAAAAGCTTTCATTTATGTGACATAACCAAGGAATTGTGAGCAAGAATAAAAGCAAAATTCAGTCTTTTCCTCAACTTCAGGTCTCTAATGACTGTTAATGTAATATTGATGATATCTTTCCAGCTTATTCCCTTTAATACTCAATTCCAATAATTTGCTGATCCCACTGGAACCTCCAATTTAACTTTTCCCTGTCCCTTACTCTCTTGATGTCCTCCCTTCTCCTTACCCTCTTTAAAATTTATGGTGAACGCTCCCTTGCATACCTCCTTGACTCTCTGGGCCCTTTGTCTGCTTCACTTCTTTGGCAAACCACAGCCTTGGTTAATCATTACTGCTCATCTACTGTAACCTGTAAGGTTGGATGTGACGGGAAATGTCTATAACCATCTGACTAATCTCACTTTATGACCATGGGTACAAGTTAGACCCAAACAAAAGCAAGGTAATTTAGGAAGGGGAAAAGACATTGGAAGAAACAATCACATTTTTAAAAAATCCCCACTATGTACCAACCCAAAGCTAAGTGTTCTGTTTGACATTGATGATATGGCCCCAAATCAATGGCTATAATGTACTGCCACTGATACCATGGTAACACAAGTATATAAGCAACAAACACAGAAACCTCTGCTAAAATGTAACTTCTACTACAAATTTATTCTGAAGAAAGTATACAATTTTGACAAACACTTACTCACAGGAGCAATGCCAAGAAACAGGCTTAAATAAATCAGATCAATTTATTGCCATCTGTGTACATTCAACACAATATGTTTCTTTGTAAATGTCTAATATTGGTTCTTTTATTGCCTTTAAAGTGGTCTCAATGTTAGTCTCTCAAATGGACTAACCTAAGTGAAATCACAACTATGTAGAATTTTTAAAAAAAAGTTCTTCAATCTCTACCATATAAATGATGGTTACATTAATACCATTCTGTACATTTGGCTCCCAACCATCTGATAGCTTTATTCAAGTACAGCAATAAAAACTGTTCAGGGAAATGAGGAAATAGCATAGGGATTAGTGCTCTTAGCATTTAATAGTGTACTGGAGTCCTGATGCTTGTTCGCATTTGCTTGGAATAAGTACCTAAGGGAAAATTAAGTTCTAAACTGAGGCTCCTATTGGAAATCCCAGAAAGGGCTCCTGGGAATGGTTTGGCTTTTTTTGTGACAATAGATTTTCTGATGAAGTACACCATTCCCTAATGAAAAAGACCTGGCACTGCTTCATCTGATAAAATTTGACCAATGCAATGAACGCGATGATCCGTTTGGGAACGAGTGCTTTAATAAAAGGAACATGAAATCAGCTGTGCTTTGGCAGGCCACAGCCCAGCCATCGTGAAAGCCGTCGCCCTAGCGCACAGCTGATCCCTACCCCACCACAACTGTGCACGATCCCACTGACGCCGCTGACAGCGCTGGCAGGGAGACAATGACGTAGTCCAAGAGCGGTCCTGTTGGATTCTGCTTTGTTAGAGTCACATGAAAGACAAACCAACTGCCTTACCTCCTGCCTCCTCTCCCCGTGCTCCCTGCAAACAGCCCTCCTCAGAACCCTACTCGATGAGGCTCAGCCGAACAGTTCAGTATGTACATGTCTAGGCAAGTGCATAAACAGGGGCAGGAAAATTGCAACTGAAGACAGGAAAAGGCAAATCTTTTAAAATAGTGATGTAGTAAAATGTAATAAATGTGAAATAAAGAAGATGCAAAAAGTGAACTGTGATTATCCAGGTCACAGGTTATCAAACATTTAAAAATATATATATATACATATATATTTAAAATATATCTTTATTGATTTTAGAGAGAAGAAGGAGAGAAAAAGAAACATCAATGATGAGAGAGTCATTGATCGGCTGCCTCTTGCACGCCCCCAACTGGGGATCGAGCCCGCAACCCGGGCATGTGCCCTGCCTGGGAATTGAACCTCCACCTCCTGGATCCTAGGTCTGTGCTCAACCGCTGAGCCACGCCAGTCGGGCTGTTATCAAACATTTTGACAAACATTTCAGCTCTGGAGCAACAGATCAGCTAGTTCAGGAGGAGATAACATTTGCTTTTAATTGTATCTTATAAAAAGATACCAATGCACTAAGGTTTTACTATACTGACAATACTGCAGTTTACACATTCATTAATAAAAACGTCTACATTACCCGCATAAATGCTTGATATGCTTTGCAGGCAGGTTTTGTGCTGAATACTTTCATGCTTCCTGTAATCACATCAGAAGTTCCATTAGAAGAGAAGTAGAACCTCGGTGGAGACTCCGCCTTTCTGTTCACATCCAAACTCATGTTATAAAACAGAACTGCAAAAATGTAGAGAGAACTGCAGTTAATAGAAATAATTTCTAAAAGCATTTATTTTATTATTTTCGGAGTGATAATAGTCAAAGTTATGGAGAATATTGAAATATCTTAAATTCTCTTCAATAAATAGCTTTTAAAAACTAGCCTTAAATATGAAAGAGGGAACTTAAAAATACAAATTACAAGTTATTTTTATAAATAAAAAATTTATAAATTTTTCTCTAGGTTTCTATTTTTAACAATGTTAAAATCTTTAGTTATTTGCTTAATCCACTTATATGTAAATATGTCAAAACTACAATACCAGAATTATTACTAATGATAAAAGTCCTGAGTAAAGTTTGATTTCTTTGGAGTCCTTTTTATCCTTAGAACATCTGGCTAAACAAGTAGGTAGAGTGCAGTGCTCAAATGTCACTTGGAATATTTCTATCTTGAGTGGTTATATAATTAATTTCATATGTTGTTAGGTTCATTTATTTCCATTTGTTTCTAATTAGAGGGGTTATTTTTCTTTTGACTTATTTGTTGGCCTTTTTAGTGCAAAGTGAACACAGGATTCAAAAATCAGACCTATATAAACAGTTTTATTTAAAGATGTCTTCTCTTCCAGCCCTAGGCCCTGATTAGTCTCCTACATGGTTTTATTGGTTTCTAGTTTGAACTTCGAGTGCTTATTTATGGAAAAATAAACAAATATAGATAGACATTCTTGCAATAAATATTTTGGCAGTTTGGTAAGAACTTATTTCAAATCTCACGTAGAAAATAATCATCTGCTAATGATCTTCGGTAAGCAAAAAAACAATAATATTAAGGAAAATTTACAATAAAAAAATTCTAAGCCAGTTATTATCAAGAAAGGGCCATTTCTTGAATTTAAAAGGGATCTTTGCTAAATAAGCTGCATCTAATAGTCTGCTGAGTTGTGACTTATATAGGAGAAATAATTCATTAAGTGATATTCTAAAGAATTTACATAATTCCTGAAGTGTTCATTTACATTTTAGGAGTAACTAACTCTTCTATGAGGATTTATATACTTATTTCAAGGAAACCTAAGTATAAATCCATACTACTTCTATAAATTTCAAATAAATCTGTTAACCTTCCTTTTATTTAGAAGATAAATAATAAAGTCCAAATCAATTGGCTTCAAAATCACAATAACTGAGATTCAATGCCTTAGAGATGGAGCTGCAATTGAAACAGCCATCTGCAAATTCAGACAAAAGGAAATGGAGAAAAGTGAACAAAAATTCGCTCACAGTAAGAGGCAACAATGTCCTGGATTTATTAAACAAGCTTAATGTTAATTATTTTTCCCAAGGAGTCATTCTGTGACAACTATAAAGCATGTTTTTGTAACAATGTGTGGTTATTTATGAATTTCATATATATATTTTTCAATCAATTAAAAACATCTGGTGGCAGTGGAATTGGTAGTACAACAAATACTGATTTTACATACAGGGAAATCATCCTATAGATTTAACATGGATCTTCTGGATAACTCATCAGCTTGTCTGTGTTCCTGTGTTCCTGGGGTCACACTCTCAAACTGCCACCTCTCCAATCAAGAACCAGTTGAAGGGTTTTCCCACAGTCCTATCATTGCATCTCTAGCCAGCACTTTTGCAGAGTGCTATAAAAAATGAGTCTGACGACAAATAGAGATGCTAGGCCATTCTGGCCTCCTCACTACAGGCTAATTCAGACTGTTACATCTGTTACATATCCATAGTTCTTCTCAGTATTTGCTGCCCTTCGTGATGTTTAGATGAGTACAGACTGCAGGGTCATGAGTATAGACCACAGGGTCATGAGTACAATCAACTCTTGACAGGTCTTGTGGGGCTCATGAACTTTGTGAATAATTGATGCCCAAATGATAAACCCAGGTACGCTCCTCCCCTACCATAGGCTAGTTTCCTTAGTAGTCATTCTCATACTAGCTTTAATATAACATAATTAGCAACATTAACTTGCTAGTAAAAAAATGTAATACTTATCAAATCACATATTTGTGACTTGGGATCAACCACAATTTTGGATGAGCCATATCAATGCTACTATCTACAGAGCAGATGACTGAGAGTTAGTTGCCTATGTGTAGAAAAATGGGCATGCGCACCCAGGAGCTGAGAGTCGCAATAAATCCTTAACGGATGTGTGTTATTTTTGAGAAGTAGAATCAGGGTCTAGACTTCAGATAAGCTTCTTCAATTACTCAAACAGGATAGAATATAAAGGAAAAACCTCTCTCCCCAGGTTTCCAACTTACGCCAACACCAGGCTTTAAGGAGCCCAGTAAAACAGAGGAGCTGTGGTGATGTTCTTTCTAATCTAAAAAGCTCTTACAGATTAAGCTCAGTTCACTTTAAATAATACAGCAAGTGATACTCTTAATTTGCTAATCATAACTCCTAAACAACTGTAACCTCTTAATGTGCCCCACTCATAGGTTAGAATAACAAGAAAATCTGAAAGATGGGGGGAGAAAGGTGTGCTATCAGGTGACTGCTCTCTCCTGCCTAAAGTAGCCGTAGTTGGTGACACAGAGTGAGGGCTCAAAAGATGACTATGAGATTAATGAGTAAAGTACACCTTCTATTAATTTTGTAAGGGCACCCTTACCAATATAACCTGGAACCTCTTTGCCTTTGTATGAGAAACAGAGCGTTAGATCCATGCACACAGAAGGCAATCCATTTTCAGTACAGTTAAAATTTGTTCTATTTACTGACTCAGGATGGTTTAAAGAAGCTTCAACAATCACTACAGGTCTGGTCCTAAGGAGGGAATAAAATTAGCAATATTAATTACAGAATTATTTTTCCTTAGGAAAAGAATTGCATTTGTTTTGTCAGTTTCCATTGACCAAGTAATTTCACGAAACTGCTTCATTAATAGTATGTGCACAGAAACTCAATTAAATTCTCATGCATCAATCAAGAGGGATTTTCATTTAAATTTCTAAAAATATTGACTTTGTCTGATTATATTAATTATATCTATGTAAGGTGGGAAAAGTATTCCAAAATTCAATAACTAAATTTCGGAATACCAAAAAGAGCATTACCGGGTCACCACCGTTGCTGATTTTAAAAATTGCCTCCCATCATTTACAATTAAGCCCAATTGTCAGTAAGCAGCAAGATGCATCAACCTTACCTTAACAACACAGCAGAATCAGATAGAAAAGCACCAACTGCTACATCTGGAAGATAAAAAACAACATGGATTAATGATCATCATTAGTCAAAGAGAGTAACTTTTCAGTCAGAAATACTTAGCTACATATCACCTTTTGACTATATCAAAACACTGTTTACAGAATATTAATTAGAAAATACATGCTTACATCTTAAGATTTATTCCACATTTGTCTGAATCTACTCAGTTACAATGCCCTTCATCCCTTTATAATATAATATAAACATAATATGATATAAAATGAAAATCCAATTTTTGGACTAGGAACATTCACCCAGAAATCTTTCAAATTACACAAAAAAGACTCTTCTTTCTTTTCATCACCATACATTTCATTTATCTTTACGAGTCTTTTAATTTTTTAAAGAAGAAGGAATAAAATGATAAATAACAGAAATTACTTGATTATTTCAGACCAATCCTTGAATTGAAAAAAGCTTTTAAAATGAAGGAAAAATGTATTGGTAAATTAGAACTCTTTTATGTACTTCTCAATAAATAGAAGCATCCACAATAGAGCTTATTCCTATATAAAAAGTAAGGTAGATTTTATACTTACCTACATATCCATTATTATCTGCATCAATTTGCCCAGAGATAGACTGTCCAAACATACGTAAGGATTTGCTGATTTGAAGCCCTTCAATTCTCTGAAAAATAGGTAAGTTGAATGAGAAATGTGTTTGAACACCTACTATCTCAGAGAAGCCATAATTTAAATAAGAAGTCTTCCCATGTCCTGGCACACTTAGGAACAAAATGTCTTTTAGTTAGATTAACTACTTGTATGCAAGAGAAACAGAAGTTTCCTGCTTTCAGTGGGGAGTTGACATCTATTTTGTGATAAGAAAAAAAATTCCTTCCTTTATTTTGGGAACAAGGGAAATTACGTAGTACAGATCTTCTGTAACAGTCATGACTCCCCAGCCTTCTCTCAGGGTCTGTATTCACTCCCTGGCCAACAGGGATTACCAAACCAGTAATCTGGAAAATAAGACACTTCTAATCACTTAGTGGAGCCCACAGTTTAGGCTTATGTGGAAAGTCACCTATTTAGCCATATTGCGTCTCAGTACTTGACAAGCACAACTCAAGTTATGTGCTTCCTATCCCATGTGTCTAATTTCATGTCTAGATAGTGCTTTCTTTATAAGTATCAGGACGCTATCCATACCTAGAAAGTCAGTATTTTTACTAGACAAATACATACATTTCATGTTAAATATGGAAAGCTACATGCCTATTTTTGCCTAATCGGAAATAACAGTATTAGCTGATGTTTCCATAAAAGTATCATTAGAAAAGCTTGTCTTCTCTACATGTGTATGCAGGTTTTTTCTATGCACTGAAATGGCCTACTTTTCAAACTATAAAAGAGAAGTGCTTTCCACTGAAAGGAACACAGAGTGTTATTTGAGTGTTTGCTTTCCCTGTGTGATCTCCATGAAATATGGGACTTTAGCCACAAGACATGACACAGTTAATGAAATCCAAATGGGCTTATTTGGAATACTGTAGATACTACCTCAGAATATAAATTTAATGAAATGCAGAGAGGAAGCTTTAATTGGTTAAAGACAAAATAGAATGGGAGTGATCTAGAACTCTTATTTATGGGGGGAAAATGGTTCCAAAGACTCATTAATGCCCTTAAAAATGAGCCTATTTACTATAATGATAGAAAATGGTAAAATAGAATATTAAGTGTTAGAACTTAATTTAGCAAATTAAGAAAAATAAGTCCAAATTAACACTGGGAATTTTAAAGAAGCTTTTATTACCAATGCTCCTTTTGAAAATAGAATTGCCTCCTACCTGTGAGAAGGCTGATGAGATCCCATCTGCTCCGCCATTGTAAATATAAATAGCACCTCTCAAGTCATCTTCTTGTGGAGCTCCAATAGCAACATCTATTCAAGAATTTAAAAGGTGGAAAAATAAATTCTTGATCCAAAGAATGCAACTCTGAAAACTAACCTTCATGTTCATTAATTCATATCACATAAGGAACTCCTTGTGTAAAAAACACTTTTCTCACTAGAAAAAAAAAATCACAAAATACTAACATCATCACAACAGTGTCCAGGGTTGTACAGAATAGTGAGCGCCTGGAAGAGGCAGAGTGAATGGGTCTGAGAGGCAGTTTAACAGAACGGGTAAGAGCATGGGCTCTAGAGCCAGGCCTCCGGGGCCTCACCCCAGCATTGCTGCTGTGCTGTTATGCTCGGCCCAATTTTTAACCTCTCTATATCTCATCTGTTCCTTCACCTATATCATAAGTCATACGAGAACTCGGTCACTCAACATAGAAGGGACATTATTCATCTAAAGTGTTCAGGGCAGCTCAGTGGATCAAAAAAGGGAAAAAACCACCAATAAAACAAGACCCATCTATATAATGCCTACAACAGACTCACTTCAGATATAAGAACACACACCGACTTAAAGGGAAGGAATGGAAAAAGATACTCCATGTAAATGGAAACCAACAGAAATCTTGAGTAGCTATATTTATATCAGACAAAATAGACTTTAAAACAAAGACTATAATAAAACACAGAAAAGGGAATTACATAATGATAAAAAGGTAAATCCAAAAAGAGGAGATAATATTTGTAAATATGTATGAAGCAAACATAGGAGCACCTAAATATATAAAGCAAGTATTAACAGACCTAAAGGGAGAAATTGACAGCATACAAATAATAGGAAACTATAATATCCTACTTGCAATGATTTCCAAACAGAAAATCAATAAGGAACATGGACTTTAAATAACACATTAGACTTGATAGACTTATAGATATATACAGAACATTCCATTCAAGAACAGCAATATATAGACTCTTGTCAAGTGGACAAATAGAACATTCTCCAGGGCAAATAAGTTAAGCAACAAAGCAAGTCATAATAATTTTAAAAGATTGAAATCATATCTGACAAGATATATACCCTGACCACAATGGTATGAAACTAGAAATCAATTATAAGAAGAAAACTGGAAAAAATCACAAATACATAGAAATTAAAAAACATGCTACTTAACAACCAATGGGATCAACAAAGAAATAAAAAGAATAAGAGTATTCTATGAACAATTATATGCCTACAAGTTGGACAACTTAGAAGAAATAGATAAATTCCTAGAAACATACAATCATCCAAGATGGAACATGAAGAAACCTGAATAGGCTGATTACTAGTAAGGAAATTGAACTGATAATTAAAAACCTCCCAAGAAACACAAGCCCAGAACCATATGGCCTCACTGGTGAATTCTACCAAACATTAAAAAATTTAATACCTATCTTTCTGGACTCTTTCAAAAAGTTGAAAAGGAAAAAGTGCTTCCAAACTCATGTTATGAGACCAGCAATATCCTGATACCAAAACTAGAAAAGAACACTACACACACACACACACACACACACACACACAGAGAGAAATAAAGAAAATAAAATTGTAGGCCAATATCTCTGGTATACAGAGCTATAAAACTCCTCTGTAAAATATTAGCAAATCAAATTCAATTGTACATTAAAAGGATCACACATTCTGGCCAATAGGATTTATTCCAGGGATGCAAGGATGGTTCAATATTCACAAATCAATCAACATGATACACCACACTAACAAAACCAAAAATAAAAATTATATGATCATCTCAATAGATGCAGAATAAAGCATTTGACTAAGTTCAACATACATTTGTGATAAAAATGCTCAACAAAGTGGGTCTCGAGGGAACATACCTCAACATAATAAAGGCCATGTATGACTAGTGCAATAACTAACACCAGTCAATGACAAAAAGCTGAAACCTTTTCATCTAATACGAGAACAATTCAAGAATGTCCACTTTGGCCACTTTTATTCCACATAGTATTGAAGTTCTAGCCAGAGCAGTTAGGCACATAAGAGAAAAAAAATGGGGGGATCCAAATTGGACAGAAAGAAATAAAACTGTCACTATTGCTGATTTTCTGTACAGAAAACCCTAAAGACCACCAAAAACTGTTTGTATAGCAAATTACATTTAATAGGGTTCATTGAAAGCATATGTTCAACAACCCACTAACTTTCTCCTTGCAGAGTAACATTTTAGACATTTAAAGTAGAATAAAGAAAGCTCTTAGGCATAAAAAGTAATTAAAGACATGAGAATTTACAGTACTCACGTCACTAATTTCCAGCATCCACGTAAGTTTTGACCTAATATTACCATATACCAAATGTCAAGAATGACATAATTCTAGCTCTGAAAATAAATATCAAATACTTAGTTGCTGAACTCCAGGAATTGCACACTCTCTTTCAAACCTATTCATCATTTCATGCCCAGTTTTAACAGACTTGGTTATCACTCAGTGCTGGACTGTAAAAAGCAAATTTTAAGGGGGAAGGCTGGTAGAGACAAGTACTTGAGCAGCTGGGGTGATCTCCAGGCAATGGGCACAGTTAAGATGGTACTGGCTATTCCATTATTGAAATCATTCCATATCAGTTGATAAATAGCTACTATCCTTGAGCCTGCTAGTTGCACCCTCACCACCGCTGAGG